CGGGACTGAATGTGTCAAAGAAGTCTTCTCCGGCAACCTGGTTGAACCCTTTGGCTACAAGACGAGCCTTATGGCGTTCAATGGTACCGTCGCCCTTCCGTTTGGTACGGAACACCCATTTGCAGCCTATGATCTTCGTGCCCGGTTTCGGTGGCACTAGAGTCCAAGTGTTGTTATGCAATAGGGCATTGAACTCCTGGTCCATGGCATCCCGCCACTGAGGGTGTGCGACTGTCTGTGTGCAGTAGGTCGGGTCTGCGGGTATACTAGATGCAGTTAGAGCATGGAACTACTCGTCAGTGCCTCTAGTCATATGCCGAAAGTGCATAACGTGACCTCGCGGTTGTGGTTCTTCGCGCCTACGTCTCCTCATAGGCCCCTCTGTTGGTCCCTCAATGGCTAGTAATGGGCCGGGGTCCGGGAGCGGAGGTTCTATCGCAAGCGGTGTGGGCTCAACTACTGGAACAACGGGGCTTGAAGCCCACGATGTAGTGAACTGCTGTGGCGAATCTGTACCCTGCGAAGAAGTGGCAAAAGGGAATACAGTCTCATTAAACTGGACGTGGCGATAGATAAAGGTTTTCCTGGTATTGATATTTAAGCAACGATACCCTCGGAATGACGTAGGAAACCCTAGGAAGACGCATGGGGCAGACCGATACTCAATTTTGTGACGGTTATAAGGCCGGAGGTATGGGTAACATAGGCACCCAAAGACTCGTAGGAAATTATATGTGGGTGGAGATTTATGGAGGACGAAATAAGGTGATTTAAACTGCAAAACCGATGAAGGCAAACAGTTTATAAGACATGTGGCAGTTTCAAACGCGGTGTCCCAATATTTTAATGGAACCGACCATTGGGCTAGTAGTGCGAGGCCAGTTTCGAAAATGTGACGATGCCGGCGCTCGACACGACCGTTTTGCTCGTGCGTATAGGCACAAGATTGCCTGTGTACAATCCCGAGAGACTCAAACAGTAGACGGCGGAATTCACCCCCTAAATCGGACTGAATAGCCTTGATAAAATGGGAAAACAACCGTTCCACCATGACCCGGAAAACACTAAAGGCTTTATATATATCAGTTTTTACATGCAGTGGATAATACCAACAGAAATGGGAATGATCATCCACGAATAACGCAAAATATCTAAAACCATTTGCCGAAACAACGGGGGCAGGACCCCAAATATCTGAATACACAAGGTCTAAAATATTATTACTCGAGGAGTTTATTTTATCTAGGGGAAATCGACTAGATTTGCCTAATTGGCAAACAGAACAAAGACGCGGGAGGCTCGTTTTGTGTGGTTCAATGAGAGATGACTGTAAGACTTGCCGGAGGACTCGTGCATACGGGTGGCCTAGACGCTGATGCCAGATTTCAGACGACGCTCTAGCGGACATTAAGGGTTGGTGACACCGGGGAACCGTGAGTGTGTACAAGTCACCCAAAGCCGAACCTTTAAGGAGCACCGCCTTGGTGATGCAATCCTTCACAACGAAAAAATCAGGGTAAAACTTGAAAAAGATGTTATTATCAATTGTAAATCTATTAATAGATAATAACGAAACCGACAATTCGGGCGCATGTAAAATTTTAGAAAGATGCAAGTGTTTAGAAACTGAGGGTATTGAAGCATAACCAATTCGCGAGATACCCAAACCTGACCCATTTTCGACGCGAAGAACATCACTGCCCGAGTAGTTTTCGGACTGAGCCAACATGCCGGCGTCCGGCGTTGCATGGGATGAAGCCCCGGTGTCCGGGTACCACGCCGAGACCTCCGCGGCAGCTGCTTCTCCATTCACAGCGACGTGAGCTTGCGGCGGCAGCTGGTCGGGATAACGGCGGAAACAATAAACCGCCGTGTGGCCATGCGAACGGAAGATCTGGCAACGGGGTGATCCACTGCCACGGCCTCTGCCCAGATTGCCTCTGCCACGAGTTCCACCTCGGTTGTCGCCAAGGTTCTGTCATCCGCCGTGATCAGCACCATTCCAGTGTCCCCGGTTTGCCACCATCGCAGTCGCCGCACCACCAAGAGCCGACTGACCACCGAACGGATAATCGTCTGAGTAAATAAATTCTTACACCTGGAGGTAGTCCAACAGCTGCGGCAGGGACACTGGCGTTCCGGAGACGGTAAGCGAGCCGGCCATGGCTCGAAACTCACACGTACAAGTTCTATTCGTCTAACGAGATGGGGCGTCCGGCTTGAGCTAGATCTTCCACGATCAGTTGAGCCTCGCCGAGGTATTCTGCCGGAGTCATGTCACCTTGACGGAGCGCCTGGAACCTGCCGAGCAGATTCAAACAACGAGTGCGAGTGGAGGAGCCCAACGCCGACTCGATGGAGGTCCAAACATCACGGGCGGTGGTCCAGCTGACGGCGAGGTACATTACCTCCTCCGATAATGATGAGATCAGCAATGAAAGAATGCTTTGATCTTGTTGAATCCACACCCCGTATGCCAGATTGGTAGTGGTGGAGGTGGCTTCGTCCGATGGGGTGCCGGTGGTGCCGTGGTGGAAGCCGTGAGCACCGGCGGTGGACAGGGAGTTGTACCATCAACATAGCCAAGCAAACCCTAGCCACGGAGAAAGGGAATTAGCTGTGTCCGCCAAAACAAATAATTTCGTGTCGCTAATTTTATCGACACGAAATGGTGAGCGGAGTTGAGATGGTTAGGACCGGCGGCGGTTGCAGAAACAGTGTGTTCTGAGGAATTGTTGTTGGTTGTCATCGATAGAGAGGGAGAGTAAAGCGGGGGGGGGGGGGGGGGGGGGAAACCTATCACTATGATACCAAATGAGAGAACAATTATGTGAATCAATTAACTGAATGATAACAATACAATAAAGATAATAGAAGAAGACCTATAAACTAAGCTAAGGAATAGACAACAGACTTAGACTAATAACAATTTAATATATTTAACAACACACACATACACAATTGAACGAAAAAAGAAATGAATATATTCATATTTCACTGAAAATATAATCGACAATTATATAATTATAACTATATTAATTAATTATTTATTAAGGAAAAGGAAAATAAATATATTAATATTTCACTAGAAATATAATCTATAATTATATATATATATATATATATATATATATATATATATATATATATATATATATATATATTACTTATTAATTATATATAAATGAATATTAATTTTTTATGAATGAAAAAAGAAATGAATATTACACATACAAATTTGTTATTAATATTTTGTTATTAATTGACACAGAAATCAGACCAAATAAAAAAATTAATATTAAAAATTGACTCGAATTGAAAAAAAAATGTGCTTAATAAGTAAATAACTAACTAGCTAGATCGAAAATTAGGTTAAAGAAAAAAGGAAATGATTATTAAGAACGTACCATATTATTTTTATGATTGAAAATGAATATTACAAATGTACCAGATTGTTTTTATTACTAGAAATGAATATTAATTCTTTTTAAGAAGAAATATGAATGAAAATAAATATTAATTCTTTTTATGAAGGAAAAGGGAAATGAATATATTCATATTTCACTGGAAATATAATCTGCAATTATATTTTTCTAAAGGAAAAAGGATATTAATATAGTAATATTTCTTTAGAAATATAATCGTCAATTATATTTTTATAATTATATTAATTTTTAATTATATGGAAATGAATATTACTTTCTTTTATGAATGAAAAAAGGAAATGAATTTTACACACGGGAATCTATTATTAATATTTGTTACTAATAGGCACGGGAATCATGCCAAATGAAAAATGAATTTAATATTAAAAATTCATTGAAAATATAACACGGCTTTCCCACGAAAAAATTAGTAACCACCAAATGAAATATTAGGAAAAAATTATGAAGCAAAAAAAATGGAAATGAATATTAACTCTTTCTATGAATGAAAAAAAGAAATGAATATATCCATATTTCACTTAAAATATAATCGGCAATTATATTATTATAATTGTATTAATTATTTATGAAGGGAAAACGAAATTAATATATTAATATTTTACTGGAAATATAATCACAGTTTATGAAAAAGGAATAGAAATCAATATTAATTCTTTTTATGAAGGAAAAAATAAATGAATATATTCAAAAAGAAATTAAATATTAGATAAAACAAAAAATGAATATATTAATATATTAGTGGAAATATAACACAGTTTTTCCTACGAAAAAATTAGTAACCACCAAATGAAACATTAGGAAAAAAATTATGAAGGAAAAAAGAATGTAAATCAATATTAATTCTTTTTACGAAGGAAAAAGGAAATGAATATATTCGAAAAGAAATAAAATATTAGGAAAAACGAAATGAATATATTACTATTTCACTAAAAATATAGCACCGCTTTTCATACGAAAAAATTAGTAACCACCAAATGAAATATTAGTAAGAAAATTTGAAGGAAAAACGAATGCAAATCAATACTACTTTTTTATGACGAGAAAAAAGGAAATGAATATATTTAAAAGCAAATGAAATATTAGAAAAAACGAAATCAATATAATAATATTTCACTGGAAATATAACATAGCTTTCCCTACGAAAAAATTAGGAGTTAATGCCATTTTTGGTCCTAGACTTATTAGGCGTTGGACAGTTTTCGTCCTCCATAATAAAAATTGCCAATTTGTAGCCACACATATTGATCGTTGGACATTTTTAATCCTCCGTCACTTTAATCGTCTGTTGACCGTGAAAATGAAGGGCAATTCTGTCTTTTTATGACTTCTTCTTCTATTTTTTTTTCCATTTTTGCGTTTGCGGCTTTCTAATTATTCTTCTAATCCTTTCATTCCTTCATTAAGAGGTTGTCGACAAGAAGAACAAGTTTCAAGGCGTTCGAAGATGGCAGCTGTAGCGGTGTAGGCGGTGGTAGTACTGGACGTGGAGGTCTTCTCTGGCGGTGGTAGTCGGTGGCAGCTGCAACTATGAACAGCGGTAGCAGTAAGGAGATCCAGTTGAAGCAGTGAAGAGTAACAGGTGGTTGGCGTGCTGTGGAAGGCGGGAGTAGCGGAAGTGAATAAGCTTGACCGGCGAGATTGATGATGATGTTATTCCGGCGAGCAGCGACTCGACGATGGGCATGGGCAGATTGTGATTACCAGAAACAGATCAGAAAAAGATCCAATAGCTCTGGTCTTCGTTCTCTCTTTCTCTCCCTCGTCCACGAGCAGCAGCGGCCATCAGCACCGTCTACGGCACTACTGTGAACCCAAAGAAGGGAGATCTGGGCACAATTGAACCAATCACCTCTGGTTTCATTGTGGCGTTTTGCCTAATAAGTTTACCTACCCTTTTGTTCTTAAGGCATGTGCTGGCATTGGAGACTTGAGGCTAGGCGAAACGGTGCATGGGTTAGTGGTGAAGTTGGGGTTCGGTGATGATAGAAATGTTTTGAACACTCTGGTTCATATATACTGTTGCTATAGCGGTGGGGTGAGTATGGGAAAAAGGTGTTCGATAAAATGCTTAAGTGGGACTCGGTTGATTGGTGTGGGTCTTCAAATCAGATAACAATTGCTTCGAATTTGGTATGAAACACTTCGAATTAGCTAAATATTTACTTCGAACAGGGTTCTTCGAGTCTTTGGAGACCTTGTTCGCCATTCTCCGACGGCGGCGATGTTACGGAGTTCGTCGTGGGGTTCATCAGGCTGGTGATTGGCAGCGGCGGCGACCCCGGGAATGAGGAGGTGAAGCTCCACCATTCGATGTTGTGGATCTCCGTGCTGCCCTGAATGAAATCGTTAGCGTACTGGGCGAGATTGAACGGGATGGATAAGAATGGAAGCTTTGGTTGGAGATTGTCAAGATTTGGAGAAGAAGACATCAAAATACAGCAATACCCTTCAATTTCACGGTCAACTAACGGCACTCGTAACGGATGACTAAAAGTGTCCAACGACCAATAAGCGTGGCTACAAATTGACAATTTTTATTATGGAGGATGAAAAGTGTCAATGCTCTAATAAGTCTAGGACCAAAAATGGCATTAACTCAAAAAATTAGTAACCACCAAATGAAATATTAGAATAAAATTATGAAGGAAAAAGGAATGGAAATCAATATTAATTCTTTTTATGAAGAAAAAAGGAAATGAATATATTAATATTGCACTGGAAATATAACACAGCTTTCCCTACAAAAAAATTAGTAACCAGCAAATAAAATATTAGAAAAAAATTATGAAAGAAAAATGAATAGCAATCTATACTATAATTAAAAACAAAATCATATTTATTTGATTTCCCGCCCAAACAATAGTAAATAGTAAATGTAAATTAAAAAATGAATGAAAAATAAATATTCCACAATAATATTCTACATCATCAATTAAAAACGGAATGAAATTAGGTAAATTGGAAAAATAAATGAATATTAATAATTGACTGAAAATTAAAAATGGAAAAATGAACATAAATTAGGTTAATTGAAAAAGGAAATGAATATTAATACTTGATTGAAAAAAATGATCGATAATTGACTAAAATGTAAAAGGAAATGGTCACATCATTGCATTTTAATTTTTCACAATAATATTACATAGCATAATATATCAAATCACAATTATGTCATAAATCTGTCACAATTTTAAACAGTGGAATGAAAATTAAAAATGGAACGAAAATATTTCAATAATAATATTTTACATCATCAATAGTAAATGCATATTTTAAACAATAGTGAAGGTAAATTAAAAATGCGGCGACACATAAAAATGGAACAGAAATATTTCAATAATAATATTCTACATTATCAATTAAAAGTGGAACAAAATTGGGTAAAAATATCACTGCATCTGATATTCTAATTGGCTAATGAACTAATTGACTGAAAATAATAAAAAAAATAATTGGCTGAAAATGAATATGATATTACTAATTGACTGAAAATATAAAAAGAAATGAATATTAATAGTTGACTGCAAATAAAAAATATCCATAATTGACTAATATGAAAAAAAAATGGTTATATCATTACATTTTAATTAAAAATGGAACGGAAACTAAAATTGGACGGAAATATTTTAATAATAATTTTCTACATCATAAATAGTAAATGCATATTTTAAACAATAGTAAAGGTAAATTAAAAATTGAATGGAAATATTTCAATAATAATATTATACATCATCAATCGTTGATATTATATTTTTTTTTAAATGACAAAATTGTTATATATCTAGACTAAAAAAATATATATCTTCCATATAAATGAATTAAGATAGCAATTCATTCATATAACTGAGTTGCTAGAGAACGAGCACATTTGCCTAATTTATAAAAAAAAATACTAAACAATGATAAATAAAAGGCAAAAGTGTCAAATCGCACCACGAACCAATTGCGATTCTTCATCCCGCACCCTGCACTTTCATTACTGCCTATTCGATGCACAAACCGTCTATTTTTTTCCAATTAGTCATTTTTACAGGTTTCCCTGTAAACTTGATGACATGGAGCAGGTCTTAATCCGACGTGGAGGCTATGTTTAGCATTTTAGGCGAAGTTGTTGAATTTATGCCTCATTCTCGTCTTCTCCCTTTCGCACAACCACTGGGCAGTGTTTTTTGACAGCTTAATCAACCACAGCGATCTCCTTCGACGAACTAGAGGTGTCCGACGAAGATGTCATCTTCCTCCAATTCATCGCGAGTGAGAGTTAACATGGAGTACGAACCCAGTGTTTATTGTACGTGTGGATTGAAAGCTCCTATTTGCACGAGTAGAGAGTCGGGAAAGCAATTCTTCGGGTGTCAAAGGTGGAAGGTACGTAGTTGTTGAGCCAATTTTGAATGAATTTTGGGTTTAGGGTTTTTTTTTGGTTTCTTCGTAGGATAAGCAATTCCTGCTCTGGTTTTTTGGTTTTTTTTTTTGTTAATAATGATTCTATATGCTATAATAATGATTCCAGCAATTGTTAGGGTTTTGGATTCAATTTGCTTTGGATTTAAGTTAATTATAATTTAATTTGTTTGGCTTAAAATTTTTAGCTTTGGATTTATTAAAATTGTATTGTTTGTATAGGATGGAAATGGCTGTGGCTTCTTCCGTTGGAAGGACGATAGTGCAAGGAGGGGCGAAGGTGACCATGAACAACTAAAGAAGCTGGTGGTGTCTATGAAGGGTGAACTAGAAGGGTTGAGAGAACTAATTGTAAAAGAATATAGTGCTCTGAAAAAAGAAAACGAATTGTTAAGGATACTTCTCTTAGTTGTAATTGTTGTTCTTGTAGCAAGAATGTTAAGTTAAAAAGTATTGGTGTAGCAAGATTGTAGTGAGAATTGTGGTTGTAATTGTGGTTGTTGTAATGAAAATTTGCCAGCAGTTTCCAGTGAAGCCTTAATTGTTTAAATTTGTCTATGTATGGGTACATTTGTTTACTGCCAAAAATGGCTAAGTATGGCTAAGTTAATTGCTTGAATTTGGCTAAGTATGGAGAAATTTGTGTACTGCCAAAACTGAGTAAGTAAACTGCCAAACAACAATGTTTCCATTCACTGTCTAGTAAACTCACCAAAATACAAATGCAATTCACAAACATAAATTTTCAAAGGAGCTAAAATACACAAAAGCAAGTCTTTAAAATGGCTAAAATTAGTAGCCAAAATACATTCACCATAATATACCAAATGGACATTGTCAGTAGTCAAAATGCCTAAAAAGTAGCCAAAATACATTCACCAAATCTTCTTAAATAGTAGCCAAAATACATTCACCAAATCTGTTTAAAGAGTAGCCAACATACATTCACCAAATCAGCCTAAACTGCCATTCATTGTTAATTAAACTGCCAAAATACACTTCCACCAAAACAAAAGATAAACCCTTTCAATTGTTGCCAAAATACAGTTTGACCAAAGCTGCAACTCTTCACTGATTTGTGCAATCTACAAATATAAACAAAATATTAATATCATAATGGAATACAGTTTCTATGCTCAACATTAGATAAACCCTACAAACACAGTTACTTTAATGTAATTACCTGAGATTGCAAGATAACAGTCCAACACCATCAGTTTGAGCAGCCCTCCCTCTTCCTCTTTGAGCACTAGTAGGCCTTCCTCTTCCTCTTTCAGCACTAGAAGCCCTTCCTCTTCCTCTTTCAGCACTAGAAGCCCTTCCTCTTCCTCTTCCTCTTTCAGCACTAGAAGCCATAGAGGTACCAGCAGCAGTTGCTTCTTGTTGTTGGCTTGACAAACTAGGACAGAATCTTTTGTTGTGGCCTTTACCCTTGCATAGTTGACAGGTCATGATCCTTCCTTTCCTTGACAACTTTCTAACCTCTGAACTTAATTTGTTTTTGTCCTTGTTCTTTTCATCATCTTCAACCTTTTTTTTTTTTTTGGGCCTGCCAGTCATCTTCCTAGGAACTGGAGCTTGTATCTCATCTCCTTCTGTTCTTGGCCAGAATTGCTCTCCATTTATAGGCTGTATTACATGCCCATAGGTCTTCAAGTAGACTTCCTTGGTGTACCATTCATGGATGTACTGATCCGGTTGATGGCCCCTGTGAAATATGGCACAAATTGAATGAGGACATGGCACCCCAGTCAATTGCCAAAGCCTACAAGAACATGTCCTCAACTCCAAGTTTATCTTGAATTGAAATCTACCCCTTTTGACCTCATATCCATCAACTCCATTGAAGATGACTTCCCAATCTACACTGCCAAGTATATTTTCATTCAACTTCTTGAGGACATTTGTGCCAAAATTCCCACTCCATCTCTCTGCAATAGCTTTCTTCTTAGCAATCCTCTTCATCACTGCAACTCTAATATCTTCAAGCATTGGAATAATTTTCTTTGACCTTGCTGCCAATAATGTCCTATTGTATGCCTCACTTAGATTGTTGTCAACCATGTCACATTTCACTTCTTCCTTGAAGTAAGCTTTGCACCAGTTCTGCATTGGGTACCTCTTCAGGTCATGAAGTGCCCCAACATCTACTTTCTCTAGATCTTTTAACTTCTCAGCTAGTAGTGCTTCAGTTGGAGTCTTTGCAATATGCCAAAAATGAGCTTTTAGGACCTTCCCTTTGTGCTTCTTACTCCAATTGGCATGCACATGCCTAGCACAGTTTCTATGCTCAACCCCAGGGAATACTTCTTGTATGACATGGTTGTTTGAATCTTCACTGTACTGCCTGGATTGGAATTCAAACACTTTTGAGCGTAGTCCTTAAGCTTTTTGAATTGACTCTCATAACCAATATCCAACTTTTTCAGAATCCCATTCACTGCCCTTCTACACATACTGACACTCACATTAATGTTCATCTCAGACTTAATGTCTCTGCTTAACTCAGAGTATCCAATTGTTGGATTTTGCCTCGCTTTTTCTTCAAACTTCCACTCTAACCACTTTTGATTAACTATCCCTAATGTGAATTGGTTGTTGCATTTATGGTCCACCATAATTGATTTAACTTGAAAACACTTGGTTCTTTCTTCCCACCCTGCACTTACATGAAATGCACAACCCTTTCCAAGACACTCAACCCTCACATACCTTAGCTGATTTTTTTTTTCCAAAATAAATCTCTCTTGGTGTGAACTGCATAACTTATCATAGCAAGCTTGAATTGGACATTATCATCAAAGTACATACATAATTCCAGAAATGGAGGATCAGATTTTGGGTTGTACTTAGGGTAGTTGTCATTGTACTTTGATTGAACTTCAACACCTTCCTGATTCTCCAAATCTGCCTCAACTGTTGGTGGATCTTGGGAATCATAGTACACAGAATCTCCCTCTGCTTCTAAGGGATTTATAGGTGTTGGAATATACTGTGGTATAGGGTCAGGATCTAGTTTAACTTTTCTCTTTCTCTTCACCCTTGTAGTCTGCTCACTGACCTCTGAGTCATGTTCACTGCCACTATTAGTATCATAGTCACTGCCAAATCCATAGTCTTCACCCACACTTACATCCTCACCTTCAGATGCAGCCCCACCCCCTAACTCTGCCTCAGATTCAGCTCCCCTTTCCTCACCTTCAGATGCAGCCCCACCCCATAACTCTGCCTCAACTGTAGCCCCCCCTTCCTCAGCTCCTAATTGACCCTCAACTTCATATGCAGCCCCCCCCCCCCCTTCCTCAGCTCCTAATTCACCCTCAACTTCATATGCAGCCCCCCCTTCCTCAGCTCCTAACTCTGCCTCAAGTTGAACTCCAGTCTCAGGTAAACATAAACCAACTACTCCAGGCTCATCAACCCCATGCTCCACATATATCTCAACCCTTTTATTTTCAATAGCAATCTTAGCTAAGTGTAGACTACTAGCATCATTATTTAATAGTTTTAAAGCTGTAAAGGGTTCCTTGGTAAACTTATAGGTCAGAGATGTTATTTTCCCATATCTTTGGTTTGTTATATACTTGACTAAGTGTGGATAGCATATAACATCAGGGTCCACCCTCACTACCTCTGTCTCCCCATTCAAATATTTCAACCTAGGCTTTTGCACGAAATTCCCACCATGATGTATAATTAATTCCATAGTTTCATTCATTCTGACAACACAAATGCAATGCACATTTAACATAAAAGCATTGCCACACTTTAAACAGACAAAAGCTTTTAACAAATGCCTTTCAACTGTGATAAATAAGAGTAAAGTAATGCAGCTGCCAACACTGTCCTGCCACTTTATCGAAAAGGAGTAAACAAATGCAACACCACACTTTATCAAAGCATATACATACAAAAATGCAATATTCATGGACCCCACTACATCAAAAATAATAATGAATTAAAGCAAAGCCAACAACAACATGGACCACACCGCATTCAAAGCATATTAAACCCCAATCAAAGCAAATTCAAAGCATATTCAGAGCATATTCGCATAAGATAACATTATAACAGTGTACATTGTTCTACATATACAGCTACTTCGAATTACCTTAGTCTTCCTTCGCAAATATTGCCTTTCTTCCTTCGCAAATATTGGCTTCGAATTCCAGAAACTTTTCCTTCGTCGTCCAATGGTAGTTGCGATGTATGGGAAGTCGTCTACGTGTCGTCAGGCTTAGAGATTTTTGGTTTGTGTAGTAGAACGGAAGATTGAATGGTTTCACAACTCTGCTTGCGTCGTAGATTTCAGATTAGGGTTAGGGATTTAGGTTTCAATTTGGGTTAAATTTAGAGAACTGCTAAATCGGCTGCCACCTATACAAAATAAAACACGTCAATAGCATAACACTTCCACATCAGCAACGCATTACCTATAACTTGCATTCAACCTGTAAAAATGACTAATTGGAAAAAAATAGACGGTTTGTGCATCGAATAGGCAGTAATGAAAGTGCAGGGTGCGGGATGAAGAATCGCAATTGGTTCGTGGTGCGATTTGACACTTTTGCCTAAATAAAATCTTCAAAATTACAGCAACACATGCATACATCTACACATTAGCTATTAATTTGAGAAATTATTTGCTCAAATTCAAGCCATGATAACATCAAAACACACAAATGATCCAAACCACATTTTCAATTGCATTATATAATATAGAGTATTTGATGTTCTAATTTAAATAATTATATATGGATCCAAATATTCTTAATATATTACAATAAATCCATTCCGTGTAACACATGTGCGGAAATACTAGTTATGCTAAAACGTTCAAAACATTGAATTTCAAATACCTCTTCGAATTTCATATTTTAGTAAATTTCTCTTGTAAAAGTTATACTAAAACTATGCTCAAAACATTGAATTTCAATAAATACTTACATTTTGGCGTTTCGATTAACCCAGATAACCTTCTACTAGTCATTGTAAATTAAACAACGAACTTCTACCTTTGAGTTTTTAAATTTCTTGTACATAGAGGTTGTTTGAGAGCAAAGGAAAGAGTTAGGGTTGTTGCAAAAGCGTATGTTAAAAAGGAGAAGAAAATTAAATAGTTGAAAGAAATAAATTATTAAAAATAATTCTAATTATATAACATGAGGGACCAAATGTGGCATATTATTCACAATTAAAGGATTATGTTTGTTCAAATCAATTGACAGAGATTAAATTTTTTAATAGTAAAAATATTATAAACAATTGAGGGACCAAAAATGCTATTTTCCTTATGCAAAATTCTCAACCAATGGATTCTCAATCTTTAACAAAAGTTATGCAGGCAAGTAGGCAACTTTGGCCTGGTCTGGTGTTCCAAATATATAATTGAAATATTTTAATTTTATTTAAATGTCTAAAAAATTAAAATCCTCGTGCGTTTAAAATTTGGAATATTTTAAGGCATGCTTGCTGGTAGTTGTGTCTGAGCGTTGACTCCGTAGTGTCAGGGGCGAAATTGGGTAAACAAATTAGACGTGGAAAGTGCTTATTGGTGGGTCGCAGCGGTACTGACTGTGCTGTTCCGCATGCAAATATAGCCAGATAAAATTTTAAACGGATAATGCCACGTCGGCCAAGAATTAGGACGTGGCAAAGCGAGAGGCACCGGATGAGTCTGCCGACGACCGCACCGGAATATGCCTCTTTGGCGAGTGACCTCAATCAACTCTCGTCATTTTCCCGAAAAGTATAAATATCTCTCATTCAGACTCCCCATTCTCGTGCCCTAGCCGTCCGTTACTCCTTTCCAGCCGCAACCTGCTAAAAACATCCTCAATTCCTGCTCAAAATCCCAATTATTTCTTACATTTTTCACCAAATCCAGCTCAACACAGCTGAGGCTTCAATTTTTTGTTAGGTAATTTGTTTGTGTATTTGGAATATATGAATGGGGTTTCCGTTTAAGGCTAGTTGGTGGTGAGGGTTCCTTCGGTGGCTGTCGGTGCGGTGATGGGAGCGGAGGAAGGGGTTTGGTTTGTCTAGGAGTTTGAGCGAGCTTATGGGATCAGAAAGTTTCAGCGGCGGTGTTCGAGCTGGGGCCTCGGCGGAGGAAGCTGAGGTTCAGAAATTGGATGGTGTTTCTTCTGCTGGAATTAAGCGCCCCTTTGATAAGTGGACCTCCATGGCCAGCCGGAAAGGTGGTATTTCAGATTCAATTTGTCTGTTTTTACAAGCTATTCTTTCAATTTGGGTTTGTTGTTTGAGAAGGTCGAGGCTTTTGCTCACTTCGTTGAAATTTGAAACAGTTATTCAGATTCGGTTATCTAGTTTACTTCTAAGTATTTATGGAGGTTTTTGTTGTTGTTAGCTTTTCTTACTATGGCGTTATTGTAGCTGTAAAATTTATTTTACTGAACTAGCAGATATGGGTTAAAGGCCATTAATCTTAGGTTAAGGTGCTGAATTCTACTAAATGATGTCTTTTACTCTTGAACCTTTCTGTCTGGATGAAATTCTTTGATGATAAGCAAACGGGTTCAGCCTGCTCCTATGAGCTTTATAGTATTTGATTATTACAGTACTTGGAGATGGATATATTAATTCAAATAATGTACTCTATAGAAAAGATAAGTGAACTTGTTTCTGATTTTTTTTTTTTTTTTTTTTTTTTTTTTTTTTTGTTGGGGGTAGATCTGTTGTTCTTTTTAGCTTACCTGATAAGACCCAGGTTCAATTGACTTGGAATTTCCCATACTGCACTGTGCTTGAATAGTTTTCTGGTCATGGATCAACTTCTTTTTATTTTGATTGACATTTGATTTTATATTTGCAAAAAATATGTAGTCTGTTTGTTCCATATTTTGAAGCTTATATTCTTCATGAATGTGTGATCATGACAGATGAGAGTTGTGCTGTTAATTCTTCTGCAATTGCTTCTTGGAGCAATGTTACAGAGAACGAACTTAATAGGAATGCTGGTCAACAGTCAAGCCTCAGGGGCAAGGAAGCTTTTGAAGGTCACAACTTCGGTAGCACAGATGCTAATCTTGCAAGGACAGCTGGGGTCGAGGCTAGATTAATGCTTAAACCTCGGAAAATGGGAAGGAATACTGCTGGTAGTTCTAAGGTTTTGAGGATGTTACAAGTGGATGGTTCTATAAGTAAAACTGGTGAAGATGATGCAAGAAGTGTTTCTATAGAGCTTTCATCAAATCTGGCAAGTTGCAATAATGGAGGTAATACATTTTATAAGAGTAAACATTTCCATATGCTTCTGGATGGGTTGGACAAGAAAAACAGTGTGATGCAGGAAATTTCTTAACCACAATCTGACATTAAAGGGACATAATATTATGAGACTTCATATTCTCCCTTATATAAACACATATACATGGAGGCCAGCAGAGAATCAGAACCAAATCTGAGTTACCATCCAGTGGTTATGCGTAACGGAAATTTTGGAGTTGCATAATGGTTATGTGGTTATATGATGTGAGACAGGAAATTAGTGCAAATGATCAAAGGAAAATCAGGAGAATGATTTATTCTAAAATATCTTTGATTGATTGCTATTTGAATTTGATTTATTTAGCTTTACAAATGTCTAATAATTTTGGTAAGGAACCTTGATGATTCTTCTTTCCTTTTTATGTTTTATTGAGTCTATGTAATCCTCCTATACAAAGGGGTTTTCTATGTTAATGAAATTACAGCAGAATTAAGTCAAAATTAAGGAGAAGGAAAACTCCCAAATTCCATATTATTTCCTTGTTCTTCCTTCACCCTTTCAGTCCCTTAAAATAGGCAAACCACACAATGCTTCCAACAGTCTCCATCGCTTGTTTTTTGTCATCAGAAGTGGACGGTGGTTTACCTATTTGTGAGACTGAAAAGGGTGAGGAAGAACGGAAAATAATTTGAAAAATTTTGGGAGTTTTTCTTCTCCTTAATTTTGACTTAATTCTGTAACTTTATTAGCACATATATCCCCTTTATATAGGAGGATTGCACAGACTCTAAAATATAAAATAGAAAGATGAATCCTTACCAAAACTATTAGTCATTTGTAAAGCAAATAAATCGAATTCAAATAACAATCAGCCAAAAATATTCTAAAATAAATCAATCTCCTGATTTTCCTTGATCATCTGCACTGATTTCCTGTCTCACATCATTATGATATTTCTGTTTTTGGTATTTGTAAATACCATCTTAGTGCATATTTAGTAATCTATACGTAAATAAATATAAGATGTTTTCTTGTTTAACCCATTAGTAATAGTCCCCCTATGAATGCTATTATAGAGGCCTGTACCTCTGGTGGAATTTTTATTGGATGTTGTTAAGTGTTGAAATAGAAGAATAGTGTATGTGTTCATATATTG